TATATATATATATATATATATATATATATATATATATATATATATATATATATATATATATATATACTTATTTTAGAGATTTTTAATAACCTTCTTCAAGGTCAAAAATCTTACATACATCAAGATTTATCTGCATATTAACAATTTAGTAAAACCTAAATGATGTTGTCATGGCTTTGAAAGGTTCTCTCTTTCTGCAGGTTTAGAGGCAGACTAGGGTTTTGACTTCTGTTCGATCCATGCTTCTTTCTATCATCTACTCCTATTTCCTTCTTTCCTTTTAAAATTTCCCCTCCTTTCTCCCTTTCTTTTCTGTCTCTCAGTCCTTTACTTTTGAACCAAAAGCCGTAACGCTCAGTTTATGAAAGTAAATCTGTTGGACCTCACCTTGACACTCAGACAATAATTTTTATTGCCACCCTGCTGGGCAGGACATGTAAAAACAAAAAAAATCTGACTTAATTGAAACAGTTTTGTCAAGAGGAATGGGCCAAAATACTAGGGAAGCTTCTTGTCCGACATTCAGAAACAATTTAGAAAATACACTGGGTGAGCACCAGAAATGATCATAATCTAGGTTTGCGGTCTGGTGAAGAACGACCTGACAGCTGCTTACAGGCACGCAGGCTGATGAGGAGATCAGGTGAATCAGCAGCAGAGTTCTCAGCCTCGCCTTTGATATGGAAACAGCAGCTTGTGAAAAAAAGAAAAAACACCTCAGACACACCAGCAAACCAGAACCATGACATTTGTGAAGAAGCTTGTGGAAGGACACCTAAAACATTTGAGCCAAGTCAAGAAATTTACAATGCTAACGCTACCATACAACAACAAGGACACATCTGCTTCTGAATTTGAAGACAGTTACAAGAATTTTACTCTCATTGTTCTGGTTTATATTTCGTAAAGGCAGGTTTATTTGTATAGCACATTTCAGCAACACGGCGGTTCCAGATGCTTTATGCCATAAAAATATAATCCAGCAATCAATTATGAAATAAGCGACACATGTCACATTTTGTCAAATGCCCCTCATTGAAATCATGAAGCAAGTACACATCAAATATGTTTATCAATGCTCCTCTTACTACTAATTAAAGGCAACTACAAACAGGTGAATTTTAAAGGAACTAATTGTTTCAGCGTCTTTGCAGTTTTCTGGACGTTTGTTCCAAACTTGTGGTACATAGCAGTTGAGATCTTGATGGTGACATTAGTCCTTTAATCCTGGAAACCCTCTTCAAGTGATAGAAGAGCGACTTTGTAATTGTCTTTATCTGTCCCTGACGGTTCAGATCTACACCCAGATTTCAGGCCTGATCACAAGTTTGTTTACAAAATGGAAAATATTTTGGTAATCCTTGCTGATCTAAAGCAGGAAACCTTTAGAGTAATTTCCTGTCAGGAAGGGAGAAGGAAAGGGAATGCGCCTGATATCTGCTTTCAACTGTAGCTGTTCTGGAGCCAGACTTTCGATAAAACTCATAGCTAGGGTTTTCTATGCCTGGTACAAAGCAGCCGGTCAAAGAAGATGGCACCTCTTCCAGAAGCAAGCAGGAGGTGGATTCTACCAACGACTGTTGCATGAATGTATCATTGAAACGATGGTGGACATTTCTGAGATTCACTGTGATAAGGCAATGTTTACGGGATAGAAAACAATTACAGAGTTATCTAGGTTCTGTGTAAAAACAGACATAAATTAACAAATTACCACCCGGAGATGTTTCAAATTCTTTTCTAAAGTGAATCTGTCAAGTCTTGTTTTTCATACGCCCACCTTCAAAATATTAATAAACAATAAAAGTGTGGAAAGCAGGACTACAAGGAGAAAAGTCTACCAGCTCAGGTCAACAAAGGAGAAGGTGGTTGTCAAAATGTTACTGGGACATTTGAGAAATTCCATGTTTTGACTCAGATTAGAAACACACAGCATTAAACACACAGCTAGCGTCTTCTTCTGGTCATCAGCATGCTGGCCACTCTCCTGTGGTTCCTGCCATGATATCATCGGAGTATACAGCAAATGACTCTCAGCCTGGATGGTCCAACTAAGTGTCCAGGCTGTGCTGAATCAGCAGATGTCTGTAAGTTGGCACCATGTCTCTGCAGATGTCTGGTAATATGAGAAGCGGGCTGGGAATTCAGTTTGAAGCCTCCGACTCTGATGAGGCTGCACAATCAAAGTTGTGAATGCAAAGTTCAAAAAGAAAAGGAACATTTTGTCCCAGGGATTTGGCACTATATGGCAAAGTTAATATCTAGACAGCAACTTTATGTAAAGAGGCACATTAACTGCACTTCTATACCAGCTTCTATACCACAACTGTTTTTTTGTTGGTTTATTTTTTCAAATAGAGCTCAGGACAAAACTGGTGCCGAGTGTATCGATCGGGTGAGATATGAGAGGAGGGTGAGAAGTTTAAAAGTCTGGAAAGTTGTAGAATTAGATTTAGGTATTTTCTGGATCTGAACAAATACATCTCATTGTCTTGTTCCATTAATCAATCCATCCAAGGAAAACGTTTAGGAACACTGACTTATTAAGGGGTTTCTCTGTTGTAAATGTTTGCCACAAACAGACAAATTACCTAATCTGTCAGATATGTTGCTACGGATGAAATGAGAGCTGAAATACTCGCTGCATGAAAATAGCTCCTCGTGTTTCTGCACTTTGGTTTAAATGTTTGTTTGCCTGATGTTGTTTTATTACACACATCATAAAGTGCTGTTGAGATATTATTGTCATTTCCTCCCACCCCCATATTTTTTTTATGTAATTTTTTTTTTTTCAAATAGTGCCTGCTCAGAGATACTTCAGTAGCACTCTGTGGTGTATTTTTGTTACTGGCATATTATTTACAGTTAAGGCCAAAATTATTCATACTCATGACAAAATGAAGTTTAATCTTTTCATTTAGCCTTCATGTTATCTATCTATCTATCTATCTATCTATCTATCTATCTATCTATCTATCTATCTATCTATCTATCTATCTATCTATCTATCTATGGATTTTGCTAAATCCATAGATAAATCCATAAATAGCTAACCAAACTATCTAGAGAGCTATGCCCCCTAGCTATTACATCCCCCTAGCTAGTACATCCAACCACTAATTAGTGGTTGGATGTACTATTCTGATCTCAAATGTCATCAGCTATAAGTTAAAATAATAATTAACAGAAATAAAGACTTGAGTCTGTGTGTATTCAATCTATACAATGTATTCCACTTAATGAGTTGAGTAGCTCAATGTAAAGGATGTACATGCACACATGCATAGTGTGTATTTCTATCTTCAGAAGGACATTGAATCGCTTCAATTCGTTTTTCAATAAATTGACCCTAACCCCATATTCAGTTCACACCTTAAGCCAAACCCAACCCCAAACCAGCACTTCTTCTTATGGGCCTTGGGCTTTGAGGCCCATAAGGTGCAGTAGGTCCTCACAACGTAAGTATTTGTTGGAAAAATTGGCCTTACAAGGTGAGAAACACACACATACACGAGCACACAAGCCTAAGCCCAGAGTCGCTTGCAACAAAATCCATTCATATTGGATGATTTACTGTATTGTGCTCAGCGTGCTTGCTTCTGGGAACAGAAGTGGTCATGCACTTTCACAGAAGGTGTGAAATATCTGGAAATTGGCTGCCTCACTGAGCTACAAAAAGCCTTGAAATAGCTTGTAGAGTTTCTTTTTTTCTCTTTTGGTCCCATTGATTTCCAACAAGGGAAGGTCAGCAACAGAAAGACACTGCACAGTCCTTATTCAATGTATAAAGACAGAACAGGAAGAGCCTAGAGACTTACATTTCAGTAGACATAGATTTTACAGTTCAAGTAACTCAGATTATTACATTAAGGTTAATTGCTGGATGGTCATATCACAATTTTCCACATAGTTTTGTTGGTTTCCATGAAACATTTGCATGTTCGCCTTTCAGTCCTATAATTATGAGTCTAAGTTGCTTTAAAAGGGAAATCTAACTCAACGTCTCTGAAATGTACCATCTGAAGCCAAAACCAAACACACATTAGCACAAAAACCTCAAGAATTTTGACATTGTCTGATGATTTGGAGTTCTTTGGGGTCATGTGACCCAAGTTATTCTGGAGTCAACCTGAGGTCATCAGGGGTTTCCATACCTGATAATCCGGAAGACTTGGTTCGACTTTAGTCCAAAACTGTAACTTTGTTACATTTTCACCTGTCGCGGTTTGATAAACAAACTCAAAGCCTTTGAAAACCCTGTTCGACTCTCTCGCCTGTGGTGGCGCTGCTGCACCAGGAGCCACTGAAGGGAAACGACACGAAAACCTCTGAAGAAGACACTGAGCGCAACTTCGTTCTTCACAAAATGCAAACGAAAATAGACGGGCGTCAGATTTTAGTGGTTATAGGATTCCTCGAGCTGCACACGCACGTTTGTTTTTATTTACCCAGAATGCCCTGCTGTAGTTCGCTTCCTACAGGTTGGAGAAGGTTCCGGTACACTTTGCATTCATATTTGCATTTAAACCACACCACAGTTCAGCTTATCCGAACTGAGATAAGTTTATAGGTGGACCAGAGTTCGTTAGCTTATTTTGGTCAGAGGTCAGTTGCTCACTCACACCTCCGCAAACGAACTGATGGTCATTAAAACGGACTAAACAACACTGGTGTGAATGCATCCTTAGGCTATTTGCAAAGATCTTTAGGTACAAAACTGCAGCTACGAGTCTCACTGTATGTTGCGTTCAAGACTTCCCTCAGTGAAAACCTAATGTCCACATTAGGCAGGAGCTAAGAGTGTGGCAATAAAAAAAAATAAAATAAAAAAAATCTCTGCCCAGCGCAGAGTTCAGACAGTTTGAGGTCTGTCCGTCCGCTAAATTAGCTGGTGAAGCCGGTCCACTCTCCACGCGCATCCTCCGGGACCACACATGCACACTCCCAGTATCTCTCCTCCTCCCACTCTCTCTCCCTCGCTCTCGCTTTTCTCTTTCTCTCTCAACACACACACACACACATACGGACTCTCTCATATAGGAGGATCCCGGTAGAGAGCCGGAGATTGCACATCCGAGCGAGCACCGAGGCGCACTACTTCTTTAACTTCCTCCTCCTACACTCACACACACACACACACACACCTCAGCATCAACAGGAACCTACAAACAAAAACGGGCCAGCTCCAGCTTCAGCCTCCTCCAGACACTGACACACTGCTCATCATCTGTTTCACTCCGGAAATCCTGCGGATTTTTTATTTTTATTTTTTACCTTCATCTTTTTCTCAGAGGATCAATTAAGGCGCACGTACATTAGGCGGTGCTGCACGGGAAATTTAAAGCGACGGTGTGTTTTAGTGTGCTTTGTAGTGTGTGTGTTTGCGTGTGTGTGTGTGTGTGTGTGTGTGTGTGTGTGTGTGTGTGGGCGCTGCAGTGTTCACCTGCATCCTCGGACTTGGAACGGAGCAACAGCCGCCGCCGGCGCATCAGTGAGGTAAGAGATGCGACCACCTCCGTTTACCCGCATCATCCCTTCACCGTTCAGCTCGGGCATTTGTTTTATTCCTTATTCCTGCAGCGGGGAGTCTTTTTTTTCTTTCTTTTTGCGTGAAATATAATATTGGAATTCAGTTTGATTTCCATGCTTGTCTGAAGGCAAACCGACGCAAAGTCTGCGCAGAATCTGGAATCATTTTGGCGCGATAGTTACTTTTTTTTTTTTAAGTGAATTATTGGTTGATTTTTTTTTCTATTTCCTGTCCTGCCCAGTTTCAGCTCCTCCACGCTCTCACCTTGTCTGTGTGCCCTGTGGAAGCCACGGCTGTTACATAAAACTTACATTTATCTTCTGTTCTTCCTTTCCATCCATCCTCTCTTCATCGTCTTCCTCTTTGGCCTGAATTGTGAGGGGGAAACTCACAGATATGATCAAAATTTGCAGGATACACTTATAAAATAAACTGTTAGAATTTACCCCTTCATTGAATTTGACTTCAACCGATTTTTCAGAAGGGACCCCTAAATCTACTTACTCAACAAATTAATTACATTCTTTTGACATCATTTGCTCAAATTCTTTAAATTAATCAAATCTTTTCTAATCATTCTAGCATCAACTGACTTTAGAGTCAACAAGCAAACAGCTATCTGTTACTTTATACTGGAATAATCAAATTGAATTACAATACTTTGCAACAATGCACTAAACAATGAAACAATGTACATGACTAAATCCAGAACCATCTCCCTAAATATGATATAATTCAAAAATAGCTCATATTTTCTGTTGGCTTTAACTGTAAAAGATTTCAACTAGTTGTTTTGTTTTTTGAGTAAATCCTTCATTGAGCATAGTATTTAAAGGGTTTGAACCATTTGTATTCTGAGGTCCAAATAAAAAAAAAAATGCAAACCTTGTGGATCATCAACAAATTTTTAAGAAACAAGGAAGTAGCTGTGTGTCTGTGTGTGTGCACTGAAAAAAAGAGGAAGGTGCTCAACTAAAAGAAACTTGTCAAATTTATTTAAGCTTGCTTAGCTTAATAAATGTAATACTTCACATATTTACTTGGATGAGTGTAATTTGATTACTTGCAACAAATTAACTCAAACTTTTTTAAGTTGGATCGCCAGTTGTCTTTTTTCAGTGTGTTTAATCGTCCTTTGGGAAATGCCTTTAGATGTTTGTGAATGCAAAAAACTTTATTTGACTTAAAATTAACTCTAGTTTAGTTTTACAGTGTAACTGCTGTAGGTTTATCATGATTTAATGGCTAGAAAAGAGACACTAAATCCCAGCCACAGCTGTCTCTCCTGCTCAAAGCGAGAGAACAGGGAAGTTTGTGTCAATAAAATTCCTTTGAATTTTGCCGCCTTTCCATGGATTTTTTCCTGACTCCAGAGACGTAAGGTGTAGTCACTGTGGCAGAAATTTTGCTTGTATTGCTTAAAATCATGCTTACAAAAAAGATCTGTGTGTCAAAGGTGAAAGACGTCTTTATACCCAAAGTACTTTGTGGATAAAAGTCAAGATTAACAAAAATTTTTATTGAACTAAGTTGTCTGTTTCAACTTTCGTGTTAAAAAAGACCAAGACACAATTGGTTTGTGGTTAAATCATAAAACTGTACTGAAATGGTTGTTCTTACAAATTAAATTTGAGAACAACTTCTTAAACCTAACATGTAGGGTTGTAACAATCCCTAAAACTCAGAAGACAAGACAAGACATTGAGTTCACGAGACCGAGACGATTCAGGATGACTTTCTTTTTCTGATTTCTTTAGATCTCTTCACACCTTAGGACAGCGCTTCAACTTTTCATGTTCTGCAGTACAACTTTTACCATTTCCCTGTTGCTATTGATAGGGTGCGCTGTGATTGTGATGTATCTCAGCATACCCCTAGTGATGCTTTCTGCCTCTTTCAGCATCTGAGCAACTTGCAGTGCCTACATTTTGATCGTGTCTTGTCTGTCAGTCCGTTGACATTTTATCGTCTCTATCGGAAACTTAGAATGATGCCAAACAAATGACTTGTTCCTTGTTGCTAGTTATAACTCCTACTAAAACCCCTACTAAAACGTTAGCAGGCAAAGCCATCCTGACCACAACTAGCTAGTGCACACGAGACACTTGTACAAGATCTTGTACGAGCACATCTTGTTATACCTCTATCAGTCTTATAAAAAAACACAGCTAAAATGTGTTGTTCATCGACACCAACTTCATTAAGTTTATGAAGCACAGCAAATATAAGCTAATGCTAATTTTAGCTAAATTTGACTGTAGCATTAGCTCTGTTACAAAACTAGCTAAAGCTTGATAAAAACTTAACATAGAAACCTTCTCAGCCATAAGTCTTATGACAGTTCTTAACTTATACTATGAATATTTTTTAATGATATGAGCCATAAATATATCAGGCTTGACATTTACTTATAGACTATGTATACAGAAAATTACTTTGAGTCATCAGCTATCAAAGTGTACAAAATGTCAATCTGGTGGGGAAATGAACATGGTTGGTACTAAACATCCCTTGGCAGATGGCTCCATTTCTGATCATAAAAACTCAGTTGCGCAGTGACACGGGTTGAAATGAAAAAGAGCCCATTTTTGAGCACTGTATGCTTATTTTGTCACCGTTTGCTGTAACATTTCCATTTTTTAATAGTTTGGTAACATTGTACTTTTTGGGGTTCAATTTGAAGTTGTAATTTTGTTTCTTTGTTGTAGTCTTTAATACTTCTAAAAAAAATCTGCTTCTTGTATTATTTTATTACTGCATTGAAGTATATACGGTCTATTTGAAGTTGTTTTGTTACACCATAAGTATTTAATGTATTTATGAAAGTTTTATTACACCGTAGGCATTTTGGGTCTTTTGGAAGATGCTTTGTTATTTAGTAGGTGTTTCAGGTTCTTCTGAAAATGTTTAATTACCTTGTAGACACTCAGGGTTCTCATGAAGGTTTTGTTACATTGCAGGAAGGATCTTTTAGTTGTGGTATTAGTAGCAGGTAATTATTTTGTCTTTGTTAGGGTTGTTTTATAGCACTTTATATTTAGCTAGCAACTTTACAAGTTTGCTCAGCTTTACTGAAGCTCTTTTGTTGTGCCTGTTGTTTTACATCTGTCCATGGTTCTTTCCACTTAAGATATGGTTGTTCTACATTTTAACAAGGTTTGTCCTTTTGCTACAGTTTTCTGTCATCATCACCATTTTACATTTGTGTTCATTCAATTGATTTTTTTCTTAGCTAGCCGCATTGACTGACTCTTGGTCTGCTGTCCCCTGTATGTGTACTGGGACCTAGCATACACACATCATTCCATCCAGGCTAATTCCATATCGATTAGACTCTATTGACTGGATATGTCTGAATGCAGACTGGTGTGATATCATCTGTTTTGGTTTTCAGGCGCTCGGTTCTCACCAAAGAGCTGAATAGATGAGCTGGCTTTAAAAGCTCAAACACCGTTTCTAAGCGTCAAGAAGTTTTAGCCCTTCAAATCATCTCCTTGCCAGTTTAATGAAGAGAAACATCGTCTTTTTTTCTCCGTTTTCACTCTCCGCTGGTCAGAAGAGCTCTGCCTCTTCCTTTCTATTTTTAGCCTCTATTTACAATGCAGTAGCTATAGAAGCAAGAATATCTGCTCACTCTGATCCAGTCTTCTGTCTTTTACATCTTATTATTGTTCCATATTCTTTATTTTATCTTCCCTTCTTCACTCAGACTCAGAGTTTTTCTGCTTTTTCCTCTTTTTGTTCCCTGGTACATCCCTCAGAGAACATGTTAAACCCTGGCAACACACATATCCCCACACACACGCACACACACACGCACACATACAGTAAAAAGGAGTGCTGGGAAGTTGGTAGAGTAGAGGGGAGTAAAGGTTAATCTCTGGATGCTCTGACCCAAATCACTATCTGACCTACATATCACCCCCAAAACAACCACCCCACTGTGCCCTCCTATCTGACACCCAAACTCAGATTATTGCTTTTAAAGCAACACATGCACTAATACAGACACAAGCTATACCACACTTAAACCAAACAAAAACAGGTCTAAGAGACCAAAAAAAGGAGGTTTATTAAAGAGATTGCAACAAACTAGTGAAAAGTCCAAGTTAAAGTTGCACTTCAGATATTCATTTGGTTTCTGTGACTGCTGAGATCTTGCCCACAGACTCATATTTATAGTACTTATTTTGTTCTGATTGATTCACAGGTGTAAAATTTCACACCACAGTCCAATGTTTAGTGACATTGCACCAATTTGCAAACTATTTACATATTGTTTTTGAGCATTCTTGAATGATGTCTTTGTCTCATATTCCTCCCACAGGGATGCCATTATTTATCTCCTTAAGGCCTCACTGCCTAATAAATGTTAAAGACTTAAGGAACCCTGTGCAATCAAAAATTCTATATATTTTAAAAGAATTTTAAGTTGTGCAGTAAATGTGCATGGATAAATTCGCAGGTGATTGGACTGTGAAGATTTTCAGCTTAATAGTTATATTAGGTAAAATAACTGCAATATGATGTTAATAGTATCCATGCTTCCGTCAAACTGTGCAGTGATGTATCTTCCATGTTAATACCCTGTACAGGACTCCGTTTTGTTATTATCCATCCATGTCCATAGGCTAAGCCACATTTTCCACATCCAATTATCAGAAAGACTTTTTGAGTGATGCTCTTTGCTGAACTCCATCTGCTCTTTGATACATAAATCACTTCATCCTCCAATCATCCGTCTTATTTCTGTGACTCGTGTGTATGTGCCTTTGTGGGGCCTTAACAAAAAGGTGCTTTTCTAATACACATATAAAATCGACCTCCTCCTGGCAACCTTCCCAGTTCTCTTCGCTTTCAACTGGATGCTAGACTCATAAGCCTCTTCTATACAAAACTGCCATCAAAGAGCAGGAGTGGGTGCTAGACCACTGCCATGTTTTCTTATGGTCTGACATAAGATGAT